CGCGGCCGCCCCGTGTTGTCCGTGCGGCCCGGCCGTGTGCGCAGATACGCGTCTGCCTCCGACGCCGCAAAGGCGTCCGTGTGTTCGGGCACCTCCTAAAAACCTTCGTGGAACAATTGCAATCACAAGCGTGGAAAGGAGGTGTTGCCGATGACCTCGCTGAGGTCTTTGTGTTTTTGCTAGGGTTGCTTCTCGAAAAACGTTCTGTTTAGCAATGCTGTTCTTGTTAGTAAGCTAACGGACGTGAAATGCTCGAGTAAGGGGCAGAGATGGATTTTTGTCTTGCAAAATAAAGTGCTTCTGAGCCTTTATCCTAAGGCAAGCTTAAAACTAATATTGCTGAGTGGAGTAGAAGGGTGTTAGTGCGTTCCGGTAGTTAAACAGTTTCTGACTATGGAAGGAAGCTCCTCTGTTTTTCTTTGTGTTTACAGAACAGTTTCTTTCCGTATGCCAGCTTTTTTTTTTTTTTGTCCTGTTTCTGTGACTGTTCCAAGTATGAGAACAGCCACAAAGTTCAGATTTTTAGGGAAATACAGACAGGGATCATAGTCAAGGGAGGGGCTGCCTCAGGCTTAGACATAAGAAGCAGAAGATGTGTTGGTCCTCTGAGTGACTGCCCTGACTTGCCCAGGGGCATTAATCTGTCCGAGTGTGCAGTAGTAGTTGTCCACACGTATTCAGTATCTGTTTCTGTATATGTTTCATTCCTATAGCATGAAAGATGGATTTTTGTTTTCATTTGGTGGTTGGTTGTGAAGTTTTAAGTGTGCTTGTTAATGCTGATAACCTCCTGCACTGCGCATCCTAGAAGAGTGCTCTGCTGGAGTATGGTTAACCCTAGGATTGATGCATTTCGTTAGAATTTCGTGCTTGTCTGTCTTAAGCTAAAATTGGCTATATTGTTTCCAGCAGAGTGCTAATCTTTAGGCTTTTGTGCTTTAGGGGGTTCTGCCTTTGTGCTAATTCTTTGTTTGTTCGTGGCTTTTAGATGGGGCACCCGGGCATGCCGCACTACCCGCCCATGGGCATGCACCCTATGGGTCAAAGACCGCCTAATATGCCACCCGTCCCGCATGGGATGATGCCTCAGATGATGCCTCCCATGGGAGGACCCCCAATGGGCCAGGTAAGGCACTCTTACTCATTGATTTTTCTTTTTTTCCCCTCCTCTAATGAGGTCAGATAATTTCTGAGATAGGTAGGTCTCATGTAGTAGCTTGCAAACTGCAGTGGGAATAAATCAGGATGTTTTATGCAATCACTCCTATCCATGTGAAAAGTCTTCTCATTTTAACAGGTAATAAAAGTGTTTTCACAGTTTTGGAACTTTAAATAATCATAGATGTGAATCCATAGTTTGTCTTTTAATAAACCTTTTTGATAGTTTTCCGTAGATTTTGAAGAAATAAGGTCCCACTAAAACATAAAGTATATTGTTATAGGAACGGTAGAGAACTTTTTGTCTCTTTAGTTCTTGGCCAGCTCTTAGGTCCAAACATGGACAGCAGTTGTAGGGAGTTGCAGGGAAGAAATAAAATTATTATTATTATTATTATTTAGTGTATTATCCCAGAACTCTGAACAGTTCTGTATCGTACGCTGATCGTGCTAGTGTGTTATATGTAGCTTTAAAAGCAAATATTCAGATTAGCGCATTTGAAAGTGAGTTGACAGATAGAGTGGCCAGACTCATGGAAGGTCTTTTTCCATGTAGTTTCTCATGAAGCTTTGTGCTTCTGAAAGAAGCAAATTCTCTTCCTTGCTAGAACAGATCCTCCAATGCTGCTGCTCAGGTAGAGATGGAGTGACACTGCACGCAGGCAGAGATCAGAGCAGACTAGTCGGAGGACGGCATGAAGAGGCAGCCCTGGAGGAGCCCACGAGTGCTGCTGGCAACGCGTTTGCTTCCTTTGCAGCACCCTGGAGAGAGCACGTGTAGCTACAGCCAGTGGGTACAGGCTTGGCAGGCTCCTGCAGGGCTCGGCACCCTGGTCAACCTGCTGCTCTTGGAATAATGCAATTTTAAAAGATAAGGAGGACTCAGCCATTAGCATGATAGCTAGTCATATGAACTTTTGTGTATGAAAAATGTCTAACAATTCTGGTTTATTCCTCTGCTTAGCCTTTTTTTCAGTCTCTGTTTTGTTGATCTTATTCTCATGTAATTAATATTTTAGTATTTTAGTAAACGGTATAAGCAGAGAACTTCCTCATTTTGGTAGATACAGAATGAAAAGCTGGATATGTGGCATGGCAAGAGCAGATTAGGCTCAGTGACCCGTGGCTGTGAGGAGGGGACAGCAGGCTGATATACTCAGTGGCCTCCTGTAGTTTTAGGGTTTTTTTTTGTTTTTCAGTAGCTTTAGTGCAAGAGGGTTGGCTGATGTTGCCTTGCTTCCTTGAATGCTAAGGTTTTTCTTGCATCAGGTACCGGAGATTTATTTGTGACACTTACCCTGGATGGGATGTTTCAGTAGCTTGTTTACCCCCTTGCTGAAGTGAACCCCCCCAGGCAAGTAACTGCTGTAGGCGTGATCTTAAGCAAAAGTAAGGTCCTGCTGTCAACATAATTCAGAGGAGAGTCTCAGGAAAAGAAGCCAGAGCCCCCTTAGTTGCAAGTAGCATTAGGGCAAGAGTGCCACCTTCTCCTGCTTCCATGGTTTTAATGGTTCACCATTTCTTAAAAGCCGAGATCCATACATTGTAAAGAACAGTTCAGATGCAGAGGAATAGGAGGGGCTGCTTTCCAGTCTCCTTCCTTGGTCATCCTCCCAAGAAAGCCAAGAAATCGTGCTTTTTTTTTTTTTTTAATGGTTCACCATTAAAAGCCAAGATCCATACATTGTAAAGAACAGTTCAGAAGCAATTTAGAGCTTTGATATTTAAATATGGCAACTCTCTTCATCTTGAAAATGTTTGCCAAAATTTATTCTTTTAGTGTCACTGTAAAATCTTTCTTCTCTTTAAAGAGGTAAGAGGAGTGGGAGACTCTTAAGAAATTGAGTACTGTCAAAAGTTAACAAACAGAATTAATCATAGACTCCAAGTTCACCTTTTTGTTGTTTCCTTGTTTCCTTTAATAGCTTCCTGAAATTTTACAGAAATATCTGTCACAGCACTATTTTTCTGTTGTAATTTTGGATGTCGATAAGAGTATTTGAATAGATCACTCTTTTGTTAATGTTCTTGTAACTTAAATGGTTGTCTTTACTCATAATTACTGTTCTGGATTATATTATATACTTGTTTTTCCAAATGTCCATTCTGTAAGAGTGTAATGAAAGGAAGCAGAGTAACTTCTTTAACTGTGTTGCCAAGTGCTTATAGGTTTGTTTGGGTTAGAAACTGGTACTGTGTGATTAATTTAATATGTATATGTATATACACACACATATATATATATATTTGATATTAGGAGTATCATAAAGTGTATTTGAAATACTATTTACTTAAAGATGCCTGGGATGATGCAGTCAGTAATGCCTGGAATGATGATGTCTCACATGTCCCAAGCTGCTATGCAGCCTACGGTTCCGGTGAGTTTGCTTCTCTGTTTTAGTTTTATTTATTTTTCATTTCAGTTGCTTTCATTACTTCATGCAGGTATACAAAGGTATACCTTTTTTTTTTTTTGAATTATGTATAAGCAGACATACTGTATGAATCCATCCACCCGCCAGTCCTCCCCCTGCGTTGTTAAGCCCATTGAACTCATGTTAAAGAGAGGATATTCATTATGTTAGGAGTGGGGAATCATCTTTAATGTTTGGGCGGATACCAGAGAATCTGTCTGATAGTTAAAAGTTTGGTTTTTGCTGCTGTTCTCTGTTGTCTAATGGGACACAAGTGTATGTTACAACCTTAGTGCAATTTAAATAAAGGCAAATTCAAGTGATTTACCCTCTCTGCCCTTCTGAAATTAGCATGAATTTCTGGCAGGTGGTGCTCATGGGAAATTTTGAAAGAATTTCAGTCTCTGGGAGAAAAATCTTCAAAATGCTGTGTCCAAATATGATTAGGGGCAGAGCAATAGTTACCTGACTTTGAGTATCTACTGTGTATTTTCAGTATTTCAGAGAGGAGGCACATTCTTCTGCTTCCAGATCTGTCTCAGGAGTAAATTTTGATTGAATCAGATATGTGGATATGTGGTAATTAGGAGGCAAAATACCACAGCAAAGAATTTAAGCTTTTCCTTTCACTCTTGAGCCCTTGGCAGGGGTCTCTGGAGATCTTGTGTGTGTGTGTGTGTGGTGTCAGAAGGTACCTGTCATGCCAGAATTCCCTTACCTCCCTGCTGTGGGAGGTATACCACAGCCTAGAAAGACTTTGGGAAATGAAAGGAAGTTTTTGCTTTTCCTAGTGTAAAACAATCTGTAGGTGAAGAAAAACAAATTTCATCAGGTTTCTAGCTATCAGATCGTTTTCATGGATAGCTGATGAGCAATACGCTCTCCTTTCCAGGTGTAGAACATAATGTCAAGCTCATTGAGGCCAGTTGGATTATTTATATTGATGTCAGTGCTTTTTGGTCCTGACCGTGTTTCGTGGCAGTATGTTGATCGTTCAGAGGGCTCTTGTAAGAGTCATCTTCTGTTCAGAGCTGTGTAACAGTGCTTACTTCCAGAAACTGAGTAGAACTAATATGTCTATTTTTATTTTCATCATTTTGAGGAATTACAATCTTCTGTTTAGAGCTGTGTAACAGTGCTTACTTCCAGAAACTGAGTAGAACTAATGTGTCTATTTTTATTTTCATCATTTTGAGGAATTACAAGAAGAGAAATCAAAGGATTACTTGAGCATAGACACACATGCACATGCGCAGAGTAGTTGGATTTTTTAATACACAGAATAAGATTTAGACTCTTTAAATTGTGGAATTATTTATTCTGCTTGATACTTTTTTTGATTTGAGGTAATACAGTTTCTTTTCACCACATTTTTAGTTTGTTTTTACATGAGGATTTTTGTTAATAAAGTTCAGAAGAGGATTGAAAGATAAACCCTAATGGATGATAAACCTGTAAGCTGTATTTTTGTCTGAAGAAAAAAATGAATTTCGGAAAACTTTATTTGAGTTATGATGGTCTTTTTCTTAGTTTGAGGTTCTGTCAGCAGTGTCCCTAAGACCTTTGGTTGCTCTCAAGCAGCTATAGGAATGCAGCCAATCCAACACTTCTGTGCATTCAAGGTGTTTGCTTTTGGCAATGCAATTACAGTGGAATTGTACTAAGCTACTGTGGCAGGAATCGAGAATCTCCTTCCCCTCCTCGCCCCGCTCCCTCAGAACTACTCATTTTGGAGATAAAGATGTACTGGAATGACATCAAGAGCCTCTTTGGTGTAGATTATTGCATGTGTTGCCTTTCTGAAAATTAGTTCGATCTCCCTAATCATTTCTTGAAGAAGCAGTAATAATTAAGTGGGTAATGGGTGGCTAAGAATACATATTTAAGATCACCGGGAATTTTGCTGCTGAAAGAACTTGTTGGATATGTGCTTTTTTTATTAATACCTTAAGCATTCAGTGCAATTGTAATTAAGCATTTGTTGATTGCTTCTACAGCCAGGAGTGACCAGTATGGATGCACAAGTAGGTGAGTATTAAACGGTTGTAATTTTAATGTGCTTAACCTAATTTTGGTGAGATACTTAAACATACTTTTAAAACTATATTTTTTTGTGTGCAAGCTTTTTTTTTGAATATTCATGGCAGCATGGGAAGCAGACTTTTTTAACGTTTTTGGATTTTGGTGGATATTTACAACTAATTAAAAGATTTGTAGGCTGTACGTGTGGTTTGTAGGTGTGGATCTGTACTCCAGTTACCTTCTGTCAGCTTCTCAGAATGTAAAGATTCCAACAGTTTTTATTTAGGGACACATTCCAGCTTGTGCTTATATCTTATTATAAGTTAATCAAAAGCTTGCTTGCCTGAGTAATGGCTGTATACTTAGAAACAAATTGTGCTGGAGAGTGGAGACCAGGCTTGCTTATTTTGTTCTTACCTGAACCAGAAAGAGATGTTTTGGATACTTTGTTCCAAAGAACATTTTTATCTCGGGCACTGTATACTTTGAGGTTTTTTTTTTTTTTTTTTAAGTTAAAACTCAATCTTGTTTATTTTATTTTTTTTTTTTTAAGGTGTAACACCACCTGGAACTCAAGTAAGTTAAAACCAAAATTCTGGAAGTTTTTAATAGAATTGTGGGGTATACTGGACTTACAGGTTTAAAAAAAAAGCTCAACTTCTCCTTTCTTTATGTGTAATTTTTGTATTTATTTAATTCTGGAGATTTTAGACCACCAGTCTGTGACTAGTTAAAATTAATATCTGAATACTTTTGTTCTGCTTTGAATATATACGGTTTTCAGGATCTGTTGTTTGTGGCAAAGCAGTATTTTGTCTTTGAATGGAATTTAGCTTGAACTAAAGTACTTCTGCTTTCTGGTGTGTTTCTGTTAATGTTTGAAATTGGAGACTGCTGTCTGTCTTGTGTCTTTTTTTTTAATAGCAAGAAACTGAAAGCCTAGATGCCTATGTTACTTCAGGTTTGAATCTTTGCAAGTGTCAGGCTAGATAGTTATTCAAGGTACAGTTGGTTTTCTTTGCACTGACAAAGAGTAAAGACTGTGGTGTTTTTTGATGTTGGTTTTTGTTTGTTTTCCTGCAGCTTCACAGTGATTCTAACATTTACTTACACTTGGTAACTCTATGCTGCATATTTCAATAACTACTTTTGCCGTGCCAGTTCTGATGTGTGTAGCAGAACTCAGGCAGTGGGTAAATCTTCTTTGCTGTTCCCTGGCACAGCGGTGTTTAGCAGGAGAAGCCAGGCTTGGCTGCTGGCACCACTCAGTCCCCTGTGCTTTATTGGGCCCTTCATTAGGAATGCCAGTTTACTGAGACTTTTGTAACCAAATATTGCAACAATAAAAAGACAATAGCCTAAATAGTTGCTAGCACTTGTTTTGAGAACATCACTGATTCTTGAGGAGTTTTAAGTACTAACCTTAGAAGAAGAGTTGCTACTTTGCACTCTCTCAATACATTTTGCTGCTAATTGGTAATTCAGCTCATTCTTTTTATTTCTCTGTCTTGACAGTATTTGAAATATTTTGTTTATGTTTTGGGAACATAATATAGTTCAGTAGCTTAAGTAGGAACTAATTCTGGATTCATTGGGTAAAGGGGAACAAACATTGGATTGGGTGGAAAAGATTTAACATTTATTGCAAGCAGTGTGTGGTGATCTGTAGGCAGGATTGCTTTGTTAGGTGATTTAAGCTATGTGTCACTCTTGCATCAATGAGAGAAGCAGTTGGTGGAAATAGCCCTGGCACCGTAGCACAAGGCACTAGTGAAATTTTTGGATCACAAACCAGTGTGACTCTCTAGGTAGGTAAACAGGTGTCATTTGGAAGTAAATCTGAAAATTTACCTTACTTGACACAGTCAGTGACCACGAACAACTTTCACCATCAGACTTGCACTTAAAATTATGCAAGTATTCAGTTATCTGTTTAAACATTTCCCCTTATTTTCTAAGACCGACAAGAAAGTAATTTGCTTAAACAGCTAGTGATGGGAATGTCCCAGTCATGCTATTTTGAGGATACCACATTGAAGGTTTTGGTTGTCGCTTCCAAATTTGGAAACCTTGTACCTAGCTTGTTTAAATGAATTATTTGATATCAATTGCCCTTTTATTGCCGTTAAACTTGCGTTCTGTGTAATGGAACAAGGGGTTTGGAACTTGCAGATTCAGATTTGAAGAGTTAAATTTGTTTAGATTTTATTTTGCTGCCTTCAGTACTCTTTTATTATTATCATTATACTTGAATACACATGCAAATAGAAAACAAATTGTAACTGGAATGTCTTTTCAGACCTCTGTTTTGTTTCACCCTCAGACAACACATCCTGTAGTTTGTGCAGCCCAGCAAACCACCACGACCAACAGTTCTGTTAGTGAGGAACATTCTAAACAGGTTTATCTGCTTTCCTCTTGCACTTAAATTTTATAATGGCTTTTCATAGCATTTGCCTCCCAGTTACTACTCCGCATTAATGGCATATTTTATGTTCTTAGAAATCTACGTGGACAGAGCACAAATCACCTGATGGAAGAACATACTACTACAATACTGAAACAAAACAGTCCACGTGGGAGAAGCCAGATGATCTCAAAACGCCTGCTGAGGTAAAGCAAGTTCAGATGGAGATTACTGTGCTGTGTGTGTGTGTGAGTGTGTGTGTGTGTGTGTGTGTGTGTGTGTGCAGGCAAGAGTTTACTGGTGTAACTTTCCTGCAGCAGGAGAGCTCTGCAGATAGATTTTCTTCCCCTGGGTGCAAGCTCTTAAAAATTTTTGCAACATTCCTTCTTTTGAGGCAGCTGTTGAATTCTTTACACTGGTGAAACTTGAAGCTGCAAGATGGGCAAAAACCCTAAACAGTTTTTATCAAATTTAAACAGATTTTTCCTTATGAAAAAGATGGCATTCTTTACTACCTGGATAAGTGAGGTGTTTGTGTCGCTAGGGGATATCTTCATTGGGAAGCATATGCCTTGTATTCATTGATCCTTAAGTTAGTTCCTGCCTTAGTGCTTGTTTTTGTTTTAAAATACCGTTGTATACCTGCTTTTATGTTTTTGTTTACTTTCCATCAGCAATTGTTGTCCAAGTGTCCCTGGAAAGAGTACAAATCTGATTCTGGAAAGCCCTATTATTATAATTCCCAAACAAAGGAATCACGCTGGGCGAAGCCCAAAGAACTTGAGGATCTTGAAGGTAACATTAAAGAACTCGTGTTGGGAAGGTGGAGGATTTTGTGTGCATGATTTATTTTGAAAACAGTAATATATCTTACAGTCAGTAGTGTCAGTTGTCTGCTGAAAGCCAAAATCACATACAGGGCTTTGCTTAGGTAATAATTTTGACAAAATATTTTTTGTGAAACTGTTTTAGCAGAATATTAGTAAAATTGTAATGTCTTTATATCTTATAAAGCCAGTGCTCCCTTTTGTACAATTGGCATGTGATGATCACAGAATCCCCGAGTGGTTGAGATTGAAAGGGACCTCTAGAAATCATCTAGTCCAACCCCGCTGCTCAAGCAGGGGCACCTAGAGCACGCTGCATAGATGTGCTCGTGTTTTAACCTCTGGCATAGCATTCCTTGGCGTTGTAAGGAGAATTAGGCTTTGATTAAAAAAAATAAAAATAACTGAGGTAAGAAATAGATGCTTAAAAGACACTACAAAAATAAAAGAAGCATCCAGTGACTGTGTTTGAAAGCAGAAATAATTTTAGACTGACAATTCTTTTTTTAATCTTTAACGTTTAGTAATATTTCTGAATTTTGTTCTAGTCTGAATAGATTAACAGAACAAATATTAAAATAGTAACAAATATTTAAAGCTATACTTATGTTTAGTCATGTTAATAAATGTTAATGATAACTTTTTTCTTTCTATATATAGACTTCTTTTGATGCTATATTTTGTGTTTTTTTTTTCCTTTCTTCTTTAGCAATGATAAAAGCTGAAGAAAACAGGTATTTATTTAATATCCTATTTTAGACTGGCTTGTTCCTTGAGCACAGTAATTCTTGTGTCTTAAAACATGCTTTTTGCAGCTCCAAAGAGTGATTCAATATCAAACTTGAATCAATATCAAACTTGTATATACTCCTTCCTTTTAACGAAAATCCTGGACTTATGTTTCTTTAGAAGCACAGTTTCAATAAAGCAGCTCATGTCTAGGAGCTGTCCAAAATTTTGTGCTCTCTTTCTGAGATACAATCGTAGAAATCATTATGGTTGGAAAACACCTTCAAGATCCAACCATAACCACCTCAGCACCACCCCATTCAACTTAATGCTTAACCTTACATGTTTTCTGAGCACTGCCAGGGACGCTGGCTCCAGCACTCCCCTGGGCAGCCTGTTCCAGTGCTTCTCTGCTCTTTCTGTGTAGAAATTCTTCCTAATATCTAACCTGACCATCCCATGGCACAACCTGAGGCCGTTGCCTCATAATCTGAGGTACAGAAATAGCGTGTTTGCCGTTAACTTGTCCTGTGCTTGGCCTGACTGTTCCTGTTGTTTCATATCTACAGCATCAAGCCTGAAGACTCCGCTCCAGCAACAGCAGCTTACTCTGGTAGAAGGGAAGAATAAATAAGAAAAAGGAGTATCAAACTATAAAAAATGCTACCTCCCACCACAAAGCTTTTAAACCCTGAAGAAAACTGCTTGTAGCTCAAGCACCACACGACAGCGTATGCTGTCCTGGAGCAGCATCTGCTGACCCGTATGCGTCCTCTTCTGTAGGTCTGTGTGAGCTAAGAGGGTGTTTTTAGGCACTTCCATCCCCGTTACACTTATGTGCATGTTATTTGCACTCCTAAGTTTCAGGGATGTTTATCTGTTGATCATTTATAGGTAACTTGAGCACTGAAAAGTGCCATACTAATCAGTCTTCGTTGCATCTTTTATGGAGTTAATAAAAATACCCCAAGCCTCAAAAATATGTATCTGATTATGATGTTTTATGTCTTTTTAATGCCTATAACTTAGGAAGAAAACCTGCCTAAATAATAAAATCTAGTAATTTTTATTTATAGTGCTGCTTCAAAGAAAGAGGATGAAGATGCCCAACCAGTTAAAAAAACCTATACATGGAATACAAAGGAAGAAGCAAAACAAGCATTTAAAGAACTGTTAAAGGAAAAGGTATTTCAGGAAATGCTTCTTAATGCTTTATAGAATTACAAAACTGCATTTGCCAGAAATTATTAGGCTGCCTCTTTTTAAAAAGAGTGTCTCAATGTTGTAGAAGATGACTTGTGTACCAGATAAAAACAAGGAAAAGGAGTATTTCAGTGAAAATTATATATAGTTCAAGCTTTTTTCAGAAACTCTCTTGGGGAGGGGATGTTGTATTTTCTAGTATTTTTAAAGACAGATTTTTTTCTTTAAAATGCCATAATTTTGAAACTGTAAAGTTTTAAGTGTAGTTCTCCATTGGATAAAAATTTTGGTAATTGAAGTGTTGCCCGATACCTGGTCAGTGAATTTGTCATTTTTGTCCTAAGGATGGAAGTCAGTGGGGAGTAAAATGAGATCTGCTTTGTTTTTCCCCGTGTGTAGACAGAATCTTCTTGTGTTCCTTTTGGTAGCAGTTGTAGAGAAAAAATTCTGAAAGATTTAATTGTTAAAATGGCAATAATCCTTGAAATACGATGTTCTGTTTTCCTTGCTGAGTATTAAAGATCTGCTGTGACTTTTTTAAGAGATTGGTTTTTGGATGTGCCAAGTCTGATTAATAATCATTTAATATCTTCCCAGCGGGTACCATCCAATGCTTCATGGGAGCAAGCTATGAAAATGATCATTAATGATCCTAGATACAGGTACTGCTTGATTCTTTTCTCGTTACGTTTGTACACAGATACCATCTTAAATACTTTGACTTCACTGGCGTGACTTTTGCTTTGATAAATATGTGTATGTTTTCAAATGTGTGCTATAAGCCAAGGCATGGTGTTCATTAGAGTTGAAATTCTTAGGTTTAGTTATATTTTGTGATTTTTAAGATTTCCTGGGAAATAGAAACGCGTTTTTATAGTCGGGTGCTGTAGACTTCTTAGGTTGCTACTTGAATTTGGTGCTGCTGTTCACATTGGCAGGCAAGTGGCTGATATGCCTGGTAATAGTATTCTGTGAAATGTGTAAACGCAGCCTGAAGCTCTGATTTTTGTGTTATGTTTTATTGTTAAACCTTTATTTTTAAACTCATTTCTTTAGTATTTTTGTTTGTTTTTTTCTTAAAATGCATTTTCATTAATTCAAGATATATGGAGCGATGTTATTTGTTATGCTTAATTTTGTCTCATAAGTCTGCATTGTTTGTCTGCGTCTTGTATTATTTTGGCTCTTCTTTTCTATATAAAGTCCCCTTTTTTTAAATTGCTCTTTTCCTCCCCCTGTTTTCAAGTGCTTTGGCAAAGTTAAGTGAAAAAAAGCAAGCCTTTAATGCTTACAAAGTTCAAACAGAAAAAGAAGAAAAGGAAGAAGCAAGATCAAAATATAAAGAAGCTAAAGAATCTTTCCAGCGTTTTCTTGAAAATCATGAAAAGATGACGTCCACAACAAGATACAAGTAAGATCAACCTCGAATTAAGTTCTGGTCCTTGCCTAACATGTGAAGTTTATTCTTAATTTTTCCTGTCTTATTCTTGGTGAATGCTAATCGTTGTTTAATGCTCAGCCCTTGAAAACAGCTGAAATATTTATAGGAGCAGAAGTGCTCTCATGTCTATAGAAAGCAACTCAGATACGTGGTGTGCTGATAGATGCTGAAGTTGCTGATGGCTTGAGCTTCAAATAACTAGAA